GTCCTGCTGTTCAACACACCCGTGCTGGTGAGAGGGGACTGCTGTTCAGCACACCTGTGCTGATGAGAGGGGCCTGCTGTTCATCACAACAGTACTGGTGAGAGGGGCCTGCTGTTCAGCACACCCGTGCTAGTGAGATGGCGCCGATGATGGTAGCACCAGCCGGTGGGTGCGCCCTGTTTTGTCTTGTTTTGTCTGTTAATTCAGTGTTTTGCCAAGATTTTCGGAGTTCTCTAACAAGAGACGAACTTTTAAACATCAGGGAAACAACTCCTGTGGATTTATTTCCCACTTTTCTGCTTCCAGCGGCAGAATTAGTGGGCATTCTAGTCAAAGCCGCGCTAGGCTTTGCTCAAGCAGCGAAACGCCGCCCAAGCGGCAAACGGTCGGGGGCTCTCGTACGGCTACGCAGACGCGGGATCCGAACAGTGCTTCCGAGCTTTTTCCTCTCCAACGTACGTTCACTGTGCAACAAAATGGATGAACTTCAGCTACTGATGGTAAAAAACAGAGACTTTCTTTCATCTTCTGTTTCGTGCTTCACGGAGACATGGCTGTGTGATTTGATTCTGGACACTGCGCTACAACTGGCAGGATTCCATCTTGTAAGATCGGATAGTGACATAGCACTCTCCGGCAAGACGAAAGGCGGTGGTATTTGTTTTTACATTAACAGTGGCTGGTGTGTAGATGACACAGTGATTCTGCAACATTGTTCTCCGCTCCTTGAATCAATTTTTATAACCTGTAAACCTTTCTACTCGCCTCGCGAGTTCGCGTCGCTCATTTTGGTTGGAGTTTACTTGCCCCCGGGTCCTCAGGTTAAAGAGGCCCAACGCATGCTCGCCGATCAGATTCTGAGTGTGGAGAGAGCAAATCCAGATTCGCTGGTTATCGTACTTGGCGACTTTAACAAAGGTAATCTCAGCCACGAACTCCCCAAATACATACAATTCATTAAATGCCCTACGAGAGAAGGGAACACTCTGGATCACTGCTACACTGCAGTCAGTAGAGCCTACCACGCCGTCTCCCGAGCAGCACTGGGACACTCTGACCATGCCATGGTCCACCTGATTCCTGCATACAGGCAGAAACTAAAGCTCTGTAAACCTGCTGTGAGGACATCTAAACAGTGGACCAGTGAGGCTGTGGAGGATCTGTGGGCGTGCTTGGACTGTACTGACTGGGATATGTTCACGACTGCTACCGATAGTCTAGATGAACTCACAGAGGCTGTGACGTCGTACATCAGCTTCTGTGAGGACTGCTGTATTCCAACATGTACCAGGGTGAACTTCAACAACAACAAGCCTTGGTTCTCAGCAAAGCTCAGAAGGTTGAGGTTGGAGAAGGAGGAAGCGTTTAGGAGTGGGGATAGAGACAGATTCAAGGAGTCGAAGAACAGGCTTAGCAAGGCGGTGAGAGAGGCTAAACGACTGTACTCAGAGAGACTAAAACACCAGTTATCTGCTAACGACTCTGCTTCTGTCTGGAGAGGGCTCAGGAAGATCACCAACTACAAGCCCAGAGCCCCCCACACCACTAACGACTCCCGCCTGGCCAACGACCTGAACGAGTTCTACTGCAGATTTGAAAGACATTTGGACTGTACTGAACTACCCCTTCCCACCCAAGAGGCCCCATCCCCCACCCCTACTACAGAGACGACTCTCTCCTTTCAGGAGGGAGAAGTTAATAGACTTTTCAAGAGGCAGAACCCACGCAAAGCTGCTGGGCCGGACTCTGCCTCTACAGCCACCCTCAGGCACTGCGCTGACCAGCTGTCTCCAGTGTTCACCAACATCTTTAACACCTCCCTGGAGACATACCATGTACCAGCCTGTCTCAAGTCCTCCACCATCATCCCTGTGCCCAAAAAGCTAAGGCCAACAGGACTAAATGATTATAGACCGGTCGCCCTTACCTCTGTGGTAATGAAGTCTTTTGAGCACCTGGTCCTGGCACACCTCAAAGCCATCACACACCCTCTCCTGGACCCCCTTCAGTTTGCCTACAGAGCAAACAGGTCTGTGGACAACGCAGTTAACATGGCCCTCCACTTCACCCTACAGCATCTGGACTCCCCAGCATCCTACGCCAGGATCCTGTTTGTGGACTTCAGCTCTGCCTTCAACACCATAATCCCTGCCTTGCTTCAGGACAAGCTCTTCCAGCTGAACGTGCCCGACTCCACCTGCAGGTGGATCACAGACTTCCTGTCTGACAGGAAGCAGTGCATTAAGCTGGGAACACAAGTCTCTGACTCCAGGTCCATCAGCACTGGAACTCCTCAGGGCTGCGTCCTTTCCCCACTGCTCTTCTCCCTGTACACCAACAGCTGCACCTCCAATCATCTGTCCGTCAAACTCTTGAAGTTTGCGGACGACACCACCCTCATTGGGTTGATCTCTGGTGGGGATGAGTCTGACTATAGGTGGGAAGCTAACAACCTGGTGACCTAGTGTAGCCAGAACAACTTAGAGCTAAATGCTCTAAAGACAGTTGAGATGGTTGTGGACTTTAGGAAGAATTCAGCCCCACTCACCCCCATCACCCTGTGCGACTCCCCAGTCAAAACTGTGGAGTCCTTCAGCTTCCTGGGCACTATACTCTCCCAGGACCTCAAGTGGGAACTGAACATCATACTCTAAAGGCATCAGCTCCCTCACCAAGAGAGCTCAACAGAGGATGTACTTCCTACGGCAGCTGAAGAAATTCAACCTGCCAAAGACAATGATGGTGCACTTCTATACAGCAATCATTGAATCCATCCTCACCTCCTCCATAAACGTCTGGTACGCTGCTGCCACTGCCAAGGACAAGAGCAGACTGCAGCGTATCATCCACACTGCTGAGAAGGTGATTGCCTGCAATCTACCAACCCTCGAGGACCTGCACACCTCGAGGATCATGAGGCGAGCGAGGAAGATTGTGGTTGATTCATCCCACCCTGGACACTCTCTGTTCCAGCTACTCCCCTCCGGCAGAAGGCTGCGGTCCATCAGGACCAAAACCTCACGCCACAAAAACAGTTTCTTCCCATCCGCTGCTGGCCTCTTCAACAAGGCCAAGGGCTTACACTGACTTTAACATTTTATCTACAAAATGACACCTTGCCATATTTACGCTGTTACCCTATTTGTATTTTTTGTATTTTTAGATTGTATCTTATACTTTACATTAAATATTTATTCAAAATTTTACATACTTTAGACCCTTAGTGTTAGTTAGACATTGTACCTTTAGTATAGTTAGACTTGTATACCACTTATTTCAGATTTAAGATTACTATATGTTAAATGTATGCACCTTCCTGCCAAAGTAAATTCCTTGTCTGTGCGAACTTTCATGGCGAATAAAACCCTTTCTGATTCTGGTCGACTGTAATTGGTGATTTTTTAGCTTAAGTATGCATAGCAGCAGTTTAACTCGGCTAGATTCCTCATAGAATTATATAGAATCCCCATGTGTTGCAATAATATTCCGGGCCAAAACCCCTTTTGGAATCCCATTCAAATTAAGTGAAATTACCATGGAAATCACCCACAGAAGAATGAAAATTCCTATATCAATCGTCCATTGCAGAATCGTATAATCATAAGTCCCTGCAGGAATAGCCAAACGCGTCAGCAGTGCTGACGGAAAGATCAAGGGCTCACAAAGCCTCCAGTGCAGAATGGAGTTTGTGTTGACGAGGCAAAAGACCTAATCTAAAAAAAACCTTGACTAATTGAAATCCTTAACTCGGCTGTAATAGGATTTTCATATTTTCACAGTGTGAACCAAATCTAAATATTTGATTTTTTAGATATTCTAAATTGCATATGGATGTGTCTCGTTTCAAGATACCTATAATCTGCCGACAAGCTCTGGCTAATTGGTGTCTTATTAATGAAGAAAATTAATTATTTATACATGTTAACTGAAAATATTCAATGAATTATAATGTATGTAGAAGTAAAAAACACAAGCATGAGTCAATGATGCATATAAACACCTTCACATGTAACATCTATTTTGCGGTTCAGTTTGAGTCGCAATAAAACATGAAAACAACCCATCTATTTTGCAGTGACTAAAACTATATAACTATATTTTTTATTTTACCAGGTAAGGCCCACTGAGCTATATATGGCTTTTTTCAGAAGCGACCTGGCCATAAACAATAGCTCAACGAAGTGGCTTATCATGTGGTAATTTATAGCAGCCAAATACTCTAAAGGCATGCTTCTAAATTTGGAGCGAAAAACGGAGGACCCAAAGAAAAATCCACGCGACCACGGGGAGAACATGCAAACTCCAAATAAGCAGGGGTCAGGGTCGGGATCGAAACCCACAACCTCCTGTATACCAGGCGAGGTAGTTAACATCTCACCACCGCGAGATGTTCAGAATGAAGCTGATAAAGTGTAAAACATCCTCCATGGCATCACTCACAATCACATTAATGCCAGTCATTTGGTGACACCTTACCATGTTTCAGTCAATGCTTCTGCACAAATGTGGGGTCCTCTCCTCCATTCTGCTGTCCATATGGTCTGGAAGAATATTACCTTTACACGTGCGCAGGGTGGAAGACGTGCAGGTTACAGTGCAGTGGGCACCCAGAGGTCTGAGACCAAGAAAGACATGGCGGTGCTGAGACTAAGATCAGATATTCGAAGTCATGTGACGATTATCACAATCGCAGCAGTGACGGCGAGGTGCGGTGGCTTTGTCAATGCTCTTGGAAACCTCTGCACTGTGATTCGTTAATTGAACCCTTTACAGAAATTACTTTTGGGGAGGTGGAGGGTGGTTAACGCACTGTGCTGAGAACTTGGCAACCCGAGTTTGATTTCTGGCCACAAGTAACATCAATAGCGGTGATATATGAACCGGTTCTGGGCACGATTTCACCAACCCACAATGACCACCGTGGCGAAGTATGGCGAAACAACCTCGGCGAATGACACAGAATGGGGAGGCCATCATATAACAGTAGATTGACAAAGGGCTGGATTATTATTAGTTATTTATTACACGTTGCCTTACACAGATCAGTTTTGTATTCGGAAACTGTATGAATCCTATTGGGATATGACTGCAATAGCTATCATTAGCATCGTGAGAGCTGCACACTGATGACAAGTACAAAGCCAGAGGGAAAACAGCGAAAAAAAACAAACATACCAATCTAATGGACAAACTGTTTTGAGAAAAAGAATCATGGGGATAATTATCGCAGTAACATTCTCTCCACAGACCACGGTGCACGAGATTACAGCAAAACGTGAGATCTGTCACTTTCTCCTGGGTCGTAGTCAGGATAATTTGATACATATTAAGTGCCCATCACAATACTGAATCCACAGTTATTGCACCAAGGTTGCTAATCATGTTTAACGAATGCAGCAATTAAATTGTATGGAAAATTAGCCACCCCAGAAGTCAATTAACAAAGCAGATTTGGAAATTGCCGACCCAGCGTTTTTCTTCCTGTTTCTTTCGTACAGTAGCATTGTGAAAGATAGTGAGAAAATTGTACTATTTCATGAGGGAGATTAAATGACCAAAATCAGAATCTTTATTTATCCTGGAGAAATCCAATGAGCTATGAAGCTCTTTTTCAAGGATTTCCAGTAGGACCACGGTGTGTTCAAATGAGCGTTGCTTGGCGATCGTATCATTTGGTGGCCTTGAGCCAGTGGCAGCAATTAAACATTCCAAGTGGGAACCAATCTCTCCACAGCACCATCACTGTTGACTTCAAACAAAGTAGTATTAATTTTAACGATCCCAAAGGCATGAGCTGGATCGACACTTCGACCATGATATAAACTCTCAACCTTGCTCACCGAGTCAGCGATATATACACACACACACACACGTCTCTTGCTCAGTTTATTACGTCAACATTTACATGTGGCTGCAAAAAAAAAACAAAGTCAAAATCATTCAAATGTAGGCACCTGCGAGTCGCACCCCCCAAGCCCGGACTTACACAATGCAGAGAGTGGAAAATTTCAACTTAAGAAATAATTCCTGCCAATGCAGGCCTTAGGGCAGGAGTGGCGGATCAGAGCGGCGAGGGCATGGGAGGGACGGGGATGGCAGCGGCACAAGCTCTCGAGCGAATTGCTGAATAATGCAACAAACAGCACACTAGGCCAATACAGTTTGATGTACACTTAATGGGGGTTGCTTCAAAGTGCTCCCTCTGACAACTAGATCACTCTGGGGAGGGGGGGGGGTTAAAGAGAGCAATGTACGGTGAGGTACGGAAGTTGGAGATGATGAAGGTCCTCCTCGGTTTGGCTCTGGCTGGAGGGCCTGGGGGACCTCACGCCGCGATTCCAAATCAGTCGCTCTCAAGAGGCATCTGGGGGTGCCTCACGAGGCTCATGGTGTTCTTGTCAGGTCACTGAGCTGGTAGTGATAACATTCTGGGTTTGAATCCAGGCAAGATACCTGTTGATTAAACAAGGTTGCCATAGTGTTTGTATTCTGACCGTTCATTAAACGCCGTGGGAAAATAAACGTTGAGTTTTGCTGATCGAGCTCTTGTTGACTTCACGAAGACCTCTTCTTGCTGCAGTGTCTCCGGGGTAGGGTTGGTGGATCGTGTAGTGATGAAGTCTGCGTGAAGCTCCGATCTGCAGGGGAATAAAATACATCGGCAGGTTTGAAACACGCGTCCTATGTAAAGTTTGTGTTGACCCCTCAAATGTTTTTTTTTTTTTACCAGACACGTTAGTTTTCCAAACATACTCGAAATATACTAGAACCCTTCGACATCTTCAAACTTTTGTAAAAAATACACCGTTCTGTACCACTTTCTACCAGCTACACCCTGCCACTCTACTCACTGCTGTCATCTCTGCATGATCCACCAACCCTAACCCAGGTTTCCGCATTCCAGGCATGTCATCACCCCTGGTAAATGTTTATTTAAGAAGGTAAAGGTGCAGCTCTGCAATTCCTTGCTCACGTCACCGTTGGCAGAAGGACCTCCGCTAGAGGGAGCTGCATTGCCCCTCGAGAGGGTATTCGGCCTACTTTTTCAACGCTGGCCAAACATCTTTGGAGACTGCACAGGACGCAACCTGCCGATCAAATGTGGTGCGCCCATTTAAACCGCTTGCTTGACACAGATTGAGGAATGTAATACACCTGCCCATTGCCTCAACTGCTGCACCATGAGACCGAACACACGACCTCTGGATTACAAGCCCAGTGTGCTAACCATTGATTGAGGAATGTAAAACACCTGCCCATTGCCTCAACTGCTGCACCATGAGACCGAACACACGACCTCTGGGTTACAAGCCCAGTGTGCTAACCATTAATACCACCGCTGCATCTAAGTGTTAAACATTAAAAGAGAAAAGCCCACGACGCGTGACAGGAGAAAACACCCACAAAAAGCACAAACCCGCCGTTACGCATTTCACTGACCGGTGTGTGCCGGCCGGGGTCCGGAAGGCGCCTGTCAGGGCCTCTTGTCTCGCGAGTGCTTGACATCCTTCCCTTTCGCCTCCGCGTCGTCCTCGTCGCCCTCGTCGTCGCTCCCGGCGGCCGAGACGTAGATGGGGTCGCGGTTGGGCGGAACGTCTCGCTGCAGGCGTCGCCAGCGGTTGGGCGGCCACACCACGTGTGAGGCTCGAGCGTGCAGCAGCCCCACCGACACCTGCCGGAGGCCGGCAAACCGTGAGAGACCTCATTGCCACCGATTCCTACGGCCAGTGTGAACCAAAGCTGGCTCAGTGCTAGCTCAAGCTTGGGCCCCAAGAGTACGCGTCCGCCGTTTGATCCTGTGGAAATCCCAGTGCCCTGCTCCCCCCCCCCCCCCCCCCCCCCCCCCCCTCGACTCGTTCACTGCACCGTTGTATGAACTTAAGAGCCGGGCTGAGCCCAAAAAAACAGATGTGATGTTACGGGGTCAATGTAGAAAGGAAAAGTGTGCCATTTGCTGGGTTTTAACTTCCTTGCTGTGCTAAGCGTAAAAAATGACAAACTAAAATTGCAGAGAATTTGTAAAATAGCCTAATATAACGTGCACCAATGTTAAACTTAATCAAACGTAACTGTTTCTCACATTTCCTTCCATGTGTAGGCACAAGACAAGAAGATTGGGGGCGGGGTGAGGTTACGGGTGAGGGAAGGTTACCGCAGGAGATTCCGAGCCCATGAAGCCTCATGGCTCATGGAGCTTAGGATGTGGAGCTAACAGCGTTCCTGAAACATTTCTGGGCCAGCAGCGCATCCCAGTTCCCACTGGCCATGAAAGCCAGAGATGGCAACACCGATTCTTGGGTAGAGAAAGGATTGAGAGGAGCCAGCTTGCTGAAGGTTAATTAATTGAAGGTTAATCAATTGATCAACAGGAATCTAGGGATAGGTGCAATGCGATGTTTCACCCATTCCACGTTTGAATAAATTATCATAATTCCGGGTTAAGATTTGATAATGAAACGGATTCTCTTTGCTCTTGTGGTGTGTTTAGCCTAAACTGAAACAAATCTACAGAGTCAATACAATAGCATTACAAACATGTGAATATAAAAAAACTAGATTTTAGTACTTACGTTAAGTCTGGTTTTTTACAAGTGGTCACCAAAACGCTCCGGATAGAAACAATAGAACACCAATCCAGTGCCCAGCACTCAGCGAACTTAGCCAATGCATATGTTACATTTTCACGAATTCATATAGAGACAGTCCCCGGGTTACGGAAGGGTTCGTTTCCTCAGAACGATCCGTAACCCGAATTTTGCGTGTGTCGGAAACTGAACAATTTCCCCCCCAAAATCAAGATGAATTCCATTTACCTGAATCCAAGTGAAGCTCAAGGCTGCCCGCCTTACGCCTCGCTCCACGGTATTCATCCACAACCTCACCGTGCTGCACTCCTAGCGGGTACGTAACTATTTTTTTTAACGTGATTTATAGATGCATTTCCGTATGGTCGGATTTCCGTAAATCGGGTCTTTCGCAACCCAGGGAGACTGTCTTGACTGGGGGAGGATTCACCAAAAGAGAAAGCTAACAACCAGCAGTTAACAAAAGGGTGTTTTGAAATGACCCAACATGCACATTGTACTATTATATTTTTTCATGAACCTACCGCACCTCCGATTAGCACGGTTGGCTAAGAACGGTGCGAAATAAGTTTTCTGGTTCCCGTGAAAATCAGACAGCACCTTCGGCGTGAAACGGGATGACGTTCTCAACACCGCCATTTCCCTTGCAAATAACAGGGAACGGAGGACCTGCCACCAGGGTCTGCAGCTCGCTAACCCTTCTGGCTGAGGGAGGCGATGGCCACCAGGAGGACTGTCTTAATAATTAGCAGCCTCTCCGAGAACGTGGCTAACGGTTCAAAGAGGGGGGCTGCATAATACGTCCAGCACCTTGTGCAAATTCCACGGGCCACACTGCTTCATTGCCCTTAGTAGCCTAGAAATATATATTTTTTAGAGCCTATTGGGCTCCGCTCGATGGCATCGTGGAGTGCCGAAACAACCGAGCCCCTCCTCTTGAGGGCCGCCACTGACAAGACCTGATTGCAAGGCCTCCGCTCGGTAACCCGACCACGACCTGTACACCGCAGTACGCTGGGTCCAATCCTCTGTCTCCTTGTTTGACCTCGTTTTGCTGATGCCAGCAATGCTGCCGCGATTTTTGTGGCGCCGTATTCTCTCCTTTGGCATGGAAACCCAACCCTGGGTTTTGTCGAGTATGGCACCAAGGTGACTGAGCCTCCGTGATGGGACCAGGCTGGACTTTTGAGACGGATTTTTCACGCGCACTCTCTGGATCTGCCCTTAGGTGAGCAACTACCACGATAAAAATTTGTGAAGACGCTTGGGGAAGCCGATAGACCAAGCAGTGAGACCTGGAATTCCCAGTGGTCTCCTAGAACACTGAATCTCAGGAACCTGTGGTCCCACTTCCTTCCACTGATGCCACCACATTTCCTATGCAAATGGCCTTGGAAATTGGCGCCAGAGATTCCATTCATCAACCTCCTGTACCTTGAGGTGCCGATGTAGCCCTCTGAGGTCTAGGATTTCCCTGAAGCCCCTCTGAGTTCTTTGACAACATAACGTATCTTGCAAAAAATCCAAGACCACCACTGGCCCCTGGGGCCCTTTGTTATGGCCCCTATATCCGGGAGCCTTGACACCTCTTGTTTCCAAAGCTCCCAACAAGGAACGGGTACAGTGGTGGCCAAGAGTCCACCCAGACATCTGCGTGGTGGGGGCACACAATTCAGACTATCCTTGTCGAATCACTCGGAAGTACCCATTCTTTTTGGTTCTTTCGGTAAAGTCACGTAGGTAGAAAAATAATAGATTGCGACGTTTCGGTCGCAACACAAGCAATCGTCATCGGATCGAAACACAAGCAAATCGTCATCAGATGACGATTTGCTTGTGTTGCGATCGAAACGTCGTGATCTATTATTTTTCTACCCACGTGACTTTACCGAAAGAACCGATGAGTATGGATTCCTGCAAGTCACGAAAGCTTCAAATCAAGAGTACCCATTCGTTTGCAAGACGTCCTCGCCCACGTACTTTCGGACTGCAAAAACCTCACACCCCCCGCGGCCGTCGGAGCAGGGGGAGCACTATGCAGATCGTCCCATGCCCCCCTTTTCACTGTCGCAGGAGAGCCCCTGAACGTTTCCACGTTGGTTCCCGTCGGAACCGAAAAGCCCTCATTTGCGCCGTAGACCGTGGCCTTTTTTTCAGCCGCCATCACTCCCCTCTCCATGCCCTTTTCGTCTCGGACTTTAGCGGGGCTAAGCACTGCAACTAACAACCCCCCGCCACGTTAGGATCGCGGCCGAGGCAGTGGAAGCATAACACGTGAAGATGGCTATTTTAAAGCCACGATTCACACTCCGCACGCCTGCAAGTACACTAAGCCATTCTCCACGCGGTCGTTCATTCATTGTTTTACTCAAGCACTGTACCGCCAAATATCAATAAAAGCAGTGTGAAGATATTCTCCCTGACCTTAAACAACGCTATAGTTAGCTTCCCAATGCGTTTACGCAACACGTGCTCGATTTCATCAAATGGATTTAATAAGTACTCGCTGGCTCTGGCCATTATTTGACTAAGTAGATAAACAAGTTCCCGTCGTGCTGAGTAGGGAACTTTCTAGCCCTGAGGATGGCCGAGAGGAGGTCACATGGAGGGGAGGTGAGCCCCTATGCCAAAATTTATATATAAAATTAATGTAGATGTAATATTGTATGCATTAGCTAAGTTCCCTGAGTTCTGGGCATGGGAATGGTGTCCTAATGTCTATCTCCGAAGCGTGTCAGTGACAACTGTATGCATATCAATGCATGGCTGCACGTCATTTCATGCACGCATCAGGACTAACAATTCATTTTAATCGATCGTTTTCATCCATTGTAGGTCAAGTTAGTTTATGTATAGCCAGCAAGAGAGCCACAGAGACACAAGTCTCTTTTTCAAGGCAGATTCTGGGATGCAAAAGAAAAACCGAACACAAAATAAATTCCCGGAAATTTAAGGGAAAAAAACAGTCGTAAGAAGTAGTAAAATAGAGCACTAATAAAATATATCTTATTGGACAAAAGCGTGAGTGCTGCAAGGATCAAGTGTCAGATCCCACTTATTTTTAAATCGCAACTCGACACACTCATGTCAGTGCAAATGTATTCATTTAATGTGCTTTAATTATGAATGGAATTCTGATGGCGCACTTAGGCAGCCTCGGACTGGTTAAAATGACAGAAACTGAAATAGGAACGCACAATAAAGAACCTGTCACCTTGAGAAGGATCAACATCACAGTTTTCAGGATTTATCTTTCGTTTGACTTCACACAAAAGGACAAGCTCTACCATTTGCTCTTTTGTTCTTTTTGACAATGCCGTCTAACCCAACTGCAGGATTTATTATTCCCAAATTGCGATTCAGGTAATGGGGTCTTTTTATAAAATCCTATGTCCGATGCATTGCCAACACCTGTTAAAGAATCAACCATGGGGAGTAATTTGTCACATTTTAAAGCATTGCCTATTCAGCATCAATTATCTGACATCTCTGTCATCGAACCATCGTAAGTGTAGCACTTTACACTGCTCTGTGATTGCTTTTCACACCGATGACCATTTACAATGCGCCGAATGCTCTGCAGGCTTAAACATGCATGCATGTACTGCAATGCAGGGAATTTCATAAAGGCAAAGCGATGATTATGACAATGAGTACCAATATGTGGGAAGACAACAGCCTTCTACGGAGTTATCCTCAGGAGATACTATTCCCCCCCCCCCCACTTTGAATGTGAAATTTCCACCATTTGCTCAGGGCCACCAACAGAGGCCTTACCGTGGCTTGCTGGAGCACAAGAGAGATCTTGACTTTGGCTCGTGGCCAGTAAAATGTTCAAGTAAATGTGGCTCCAGCGGTGATGGAACCAAGCTGTGCTGCCAAATGCCAAGCCACAAACGAGAGAAACAAAGAGGGTGTCTTTGTTTGCTCCTGTTTACGACGTCTCACGTTTGTACGTATCCTCTCTCTCCTTACTTGGCTGTCCATCGAAAACGATGGTGACGATTGCTCCTCTTGTGGATGGGGCGGGGGGGGTTAGCGCTTTTGGCTCTCGTGCGGCTGCATGTGGCCGTGGAGGCCGATGCGA